AAATGTATTCAACGTTCTGAATGTAGTAAAATTTGTACTTCGAGTCCCTGTTAACTTTTAATTCTCAAGCTTCTCGACAGAGAAATGCTGCCATCTGCTGACGACATTTGATAACTGCAGCTTATTCACCGCCTCCTTATCCTTCCCTTCTAATTGGCTGTCGCCCCTACGAGTCCTTGGAGAGGTCAAAAATAATGATAACGAAATTTACCTTAGAGTCGCTGTGGTTTTGAGATATACAGTTTAGTCGATCACATTTCTCTTGTTGGCTTATCCAGTCCAGCACCGAGATCTTTTTTTCAGGTGCTCATTCAGCTAGCTAGCACAGCTAGCCTCAACAGCTGGTGGCTATGGCTGCAGTTATTTTAAGTTTCCCAACTCTACAGGGCCTGCGGATATTCACGCAGTGAGTACCTAAGAGCACTGAAGGGCTGTTTTGTCTTATAGAGGGTTCGACAATTAGCGCACTCGTTTTTAACGATAGCTTACAGGTGTCAATTTGGGAGGCTATCTAATGTTATTCTCTGAGCTAAGCACACGGCGCTAGCATTAAGCCTGTGGACACGACTTCTGACCTGCAGAAAATGTTATTTGCATTCAACACCGAGATGCTGTCCTGATATATATGAGAATGGACCAAGGTTAAACGGCTAGCAAATTGTCTGTTGGCGTTGCTAATGGTGCTAGCATAACATAGCACAACATATTTTTGGGAGCAACCTCGCATGCTGTCTAACTAGCTCAAATTAGCTTGGAGTTTGTTTCTGACTGCAAAGTGTTTCTTGGATGCTTATTGTGATGAACTGCCTGTGCCACTGCTGTGTTGCTCTAGCAGCAGCTCAGCCTGTGTAGTAACGAGTGGTGCTGAAGTTGTTATTTCTGTCTCTTCACAGGAAGCTGTCATGGAGCACGAGAGGCGTGAGGCTTGTTTCAGGAGGTGAGGATGCATAAATATACATGCAAAAGATTGAGTAACCACAAAGAGTGATGCAAAAAGTCCAAAACTCACATGCACTACACAGAAAAGCAACATGCAGCCATTTCAGGAGCTGATGGTGTTCAGCATGTTTGTTTGATTAATCTCTGAACTGATCGCTTTCCAATTTTACAAATACTGACTAGCACACACTGTACGTCCAAGTCCATCACCTTGCTGAGGTTGTTTGGAGCAGTGATGTTTGTCTTTTCCAGGGGTGAGAAGGATAGAAAAGGTGCTGATTGCCAATCGAGGAGAGATTGCATGCCGTGTGATGCGTTCAGCCAAGAAGATGGGTGTACGCTCAGTGGCGGTGTACAGTGATGCAGACAC